GTGTGATCTCTGGAACCACATTGGCATCTCCTGGGGTTTTTGGAAATGCAGAATCTAGGGCCCCACCCCAGACCTGCTGAATACAAATCTGCATTTTAACAGGACCCCTGGATGATTTATATGCACAGGAACATTTGAGAAATGCTGATCTTGACAATCTGCTGGTGGAATTTCCAATCAGGAAAGTCTTTGTCCTAATCTCAGCAATGGGAAGGCCGGCACTGGGAAAAGGAGTTTGAGGGTGTATTTGCTATTATTGAACCATCTTTTCTTTTTTTTTTAACTAAAGTATAGTCAGTTACAATGTGTCAATTTCTGGTGTGCAGCACAATGTCCCACTCATGCATATACATACATATATTTGTTTTATATTCTTTTTCATTAAAGGTTGTTACAAGATATTAAATATAGTTCCCTGTGCTATACAGAAGAAATTTATTTTTTTAAATCTATTTTTATATATAGTGGTTAACATTTGCAAGTCTCAAAACTCCCAAATTTATCACTCCCCACCCTCTTTCCTCCGGTAACCATAAGATTGTTTACTATGTCTGCAAGTCTGTTTCTGTTTGGTACATGAATTCATTAATGTCTTTTTTTTAATTAATTAAATTTTTATTGAGGTGTAGTCCATTTACAATATTGTGTCAATTTCTAGTGTACAGCACAATTCTCTAGTCATACATGAATATACATACATTCTTTTTTTTTTTTTTTAGATTCCACATGTAAGTGATATCATATGATTATTTTTCTTTCTCTTTCTTGAAGCTGTCCTTTCTTAATGACTTTTGTCCCAGGAATTAAACACAGTCATTATTAAAAATTAAATAACAGACACAATCGAATAGATTATGTTAAAAAACAAAGGTAATCAAAACTCGAAACTCCTAATTACTTCACTGCATTTTCCTTTGGTCTAGCCCAGTGCAGTTGTTTGTGTCACTTGTATCAGCATGGTAGAAATACTGTATAACGGTGAACATCTCTTCCCGTCTCCAAGCTTGATGATGTCATGTTGGTAGCTTGAAACTGGACATGATGGGAATGAAACTGACCCCATGGAAATTGACAAATACTGGAAGTCAGCAAAGTGGTTAAACATTTACCAGCAGACCCTGGGTCACTATCACTATTCTTCAGTATCTGTCAGGTGTGGTTGCAAGTGTTGCTGGTGACTAGGTTCTTGTCTCATCACAGAAAGAATTCAGAGGCAAGACACGGAGGTTGAGAAAATAAAGTGAGGAGAGCAAGCAGGCTCAGGTGAGCAGCTGCCCTGAGTTTCTTTGGCAAGTTGGTTACATAGGGTGCAAAAATGAATGGGAAGAATAGTCATTGGGGAGGAAGGAGTTTGGGGTCGTGTTCCCTGATTTTCATCCCAGCTCCACTTTCCCAAAGGGAGGAGGGATTTTTGTCCATATTTAGTCTGGATTGGAAGTGTCATGACATCAGTGTATGATGGGTACTTCTAATTTGCAAGGCTAATTTTATTGTAATGAGGACATAATGGGCAAAAGGTTACATTCAGACACTGGAGAGTCCTGCCTTTTCCCACCTTTCTTTGTCGGTCTCCAGGGCGCTTGTCACCCCAAAATGTGTAATCGCTTATCAGCCCAGAGGTACCTGCTTTTCTCTGTCTGCCCAAGGACCCCTGGTGCTTACATGATGTATGGTTTCCTGCATTTGGCCCATGCCCCTCCTTTTTGCCCAATTCCTGTCATTTGGCCTGAGTCCCCCTTTCTCTGCTCACATCTAGCTATTTGCCTGCTCTAACACAAGGATCCTATTTACATCAAGAAATTTAAACCTTAAAGAATTGGTGAATTAGATTGATGTGAACACGATGCTCCATGGGCAAAACTGAAATGTTCCAGCTTGGCCTTAGAAAGTTTTAACAGCTCACCAAACTCCCAAAGCCCCATGTGTACAGGGCCTTCGTGCTACTACTGGTCAGTCTAGAACCCAGGCCCGACTTTTCTTTGAGAATGATTTGATTTCTTTATCTTCCTTCGTCAAAACTTCATACCCTTAATTTCTTGCTCCCTAGTCGTCTCAGCTGGAAGGAATAAATCTAAATTTTTATTTCCCGCTGAGATTTACATGTGTCGCAGTGGGTTCTAATGCTAGCTACTCGGAACCTTGCGTTTCTAATGGTTGCATAATAGGACACGGTATCTCTGGGGCTGGAATGTCGGACAAATGAAAGCTGGGTGGGGAGGCTAGGGGAGGCATTTTAGAGTCCTGAAATCCCACCACTGATTCCACCTATATTTAAAGTAGCTCTTGGTGTTATAATCTCATCCTACCTTCTGGCAATTACGTTCCAGTGTGAGCTACTTCTGTGGAAGGGGAGGGCTGTTGCCTTCAGTCAGACGACCTTCTAGCAAGTGACTTTATGTAGACTAACAATCAGATCAGTAGTTTCTGTTTCCTGGGAAAAATGGTGTAGCAAAGGAACTCTGACTCCACCATGCAATTAACGTTGCGAATGACGGAGTAAAACTAATTCTTTCATATGTGTAAATGCTATTTGCTGTCTTTCAAATGTTTGTGGATACTATCGTGATAAACAAAATACAAATTTTTAAAAGCGACACTGAATCTATAGCTACTTTCTGACAGTACGTGTTCCTTTCAAGCGAGGAATTTAAACATACAATTACTGTTATGAAGGAGTTGCTAGAATTATGGCCATTACAGGTCTGTAAATTTGATGGGAACTTGATGGATACACACTCAGGAAGGGGCTAGAGGAGTCTACAGTGGGTGGCTTCAGATCCTGGAGATTCCAACTGTTAATTAATCCAACTCTGATCTGGACAGAAGGGGAACTTCCGAGGATGGAGAGGTGGAAAAGGAGTTTGAAGAACCAGATATGAGATTTGCAAATACTAACTACTATATATAAAATAGATAAACAACAAGTTGTAACTGTATACTGCAGGGAACTATATTCAATATCTTGTAGTAACCTATAATGAAAAAGAATATGAAAACAAATATATATATATGTATATGTATGACTGAAACATCACGCTGTACACCAGAAATTAACACAACATTGTAAACTGACTATACATCAGTAAAAAAGAAAGCCAAAAAAGAAGAAGAACCAGATTCTGTTGTTAGATCTATCATTGCTTTGACTGTCTCATTTTCCCTCTCAACCGTTTATCCGCAAGTGGGGCAGATGACACTGCTTGGCTGTAGCTGAAGAATCAATATTTCCCTTTGGGCTCTGTTTATAGGGCTTTGCTATAAGTAGGAAAACCTCTTATCAGAATGTGCCAGAATTAATTGTACTTCTTCCTCCCTCTTATAGACGGAGGACTCTTTGAGGTTAGAACCCTCATCTCTTTGGTTTCTGACAGCCGGTGCTGAGCAGTGTGCACAGCGCGCAGGGAGGGATCAGTGACTCTTCTCTTCATTGAATGACTATGAGGGTAAAACCCAGTGGAAAACCTACATAAAAGTAATTGGTAAAGTGCGAGCACAAATATATATGGTAACACATTATCAGTGGATATTTTTTCATTTGTTCATCATCCTTTGACTTATGCTACAAATATTTACTCTCCAGGGTGGTGAGAAGACGATAATTAGAGAAAATAAATCGATTGTTTCAACAGCAGTAATACTTGTAATTGCAGAGGAACACAACACCAGAGTATTTCTCTGATACATAATTGGAGGAGACCTGAGATTTTTGACCAAAAACTGAAACCAGGAACCTAAGGAGACCCTCTGATTTGGGTGATGGGCATCTTAGCAAGACAGAAACTAACTTTTCAGAAAGTGAGAGAAAGGGGCACCTTGACTGGGAAGGGGTTAGCCTCGGGTGACACTGGGAGTGCATCCTGAGAGCCCATGGACCACTCAGTGAGCTGCTCCAAAAGCTGGAAAATTTGTATCCACCAAATGAGCTCACGGTTCCTGGCCTCGCTTGCTCCCGCATGGCAGACTTGAGAAGCTTGGCATTTGTGGTAAATTAGTCATTTCTGTTGTCTTCAAGTAAGCGGGGCTAGGAGTGCTCTCTTGATGAGTGAACTCGTCAACGTTCACTGGGAAATGCAGTTTGGTAAATTAAAGTGTATTTACAGAAATAATTTGGCAGAATATTTTAAATTGGGGCCATTTTAGAAAATCCTGGATAGGTGAAAGCTAAGTGATTTGATTCTGAGATGAAAGTACCTGAAATGTTTTAAAAATTTCACATGCTGGCTGTGGGAGGGAAGCTCAGCGGAGCTGGTGTTCCATTCCAGAAGGAACATGAGACCTAATAGGCTTTCTGGAATTTTACAGAAATTGTGTGTGTGTGTGTGTGTGTGTGTGCGCACACGTGTGTGTGTATGCTGACTAGACAGAGGAATTTACTAGATTCACCATAATCTCCTGCCTTCAGGCAGACAGGTGTTTCTAATCATACAGTGGAGAAGTTTATTTTTCTAAAAATAAAAAGATAAAACAGTAAAAATAAAAGAAATTAAAAAAAGAAGTTTATCTTTCTAAAAATTTCTGAATATATCCTCCCTAGAACCCACATCATTCCTGAAAGATTTGTTCTTATTTCTGATACTGATGAAGATCTCTCTTGTTTTATTTAAATTTATTTTCTCTGTACAAGGGTAGCTGATGAATTGCGTTCTCACTGCGTACGTCTTACATTTAATGTGTTACTAAGGTGTCACCTTATCAGGGGGCTATCCCCTGGCCCACAGTCTGGTCTCGATGCTCCTCTTATCTGCGCCCATAACACCTTCCGTGAACCCATCACTGCTCTCCACCTGCTGCGTTGTAAGCAGCTCTTCAACATCCTTCCCCTTCACGGAGCCAAGAGCAGTGAGAACTATCGATGTCTTGTTCACCTTTTACCCTGCATCTGACACAGTTTTAGTGCCTGGCACACGTTGTCTACTCAGCATTGGTGGAATGAATGAATAAAAAGATGAATGATTATATCATGGACCCTACACACATTGAAAGACAATTACTTCAGTCAGTAGTATTTCTTAGTTTAATTTCATGTAGACGAACCACTCATGGTGCACACAGCAGTGGGGCACACACACACGCACACACACACACTGGGCGCTAGATAACATCTCTTTATCAGAGAAAACATCCAGGCTGCTCTTCCTTGAAGGGGAAGCCCATGCACTTCCCTTTATGAAAAGCCACACCCTTGGCTCCCAGGCTCTGGGCTACTTTCTGAGTTCTTGTCGCTGCTAGTGGGTGAGGGGAGCAGTTCCACGTGGCCTGTGAGAGCGCTGGGGGAGACAGGGGGCCACCGAGGACTCACTGTGGTTACCACTCACAGGCACAGAGGGAAAAACTGAAAGACACTCGACAGTGGCTGTCCCACCCAGGCCGGTACCCTGCTTCCTCACAGAACTACTTGGCTGAGCCTGGCAGGTCCCTCGGGCTCGTCACAGCGCCTCGTGGGGACGTTTCAGCTTCTGCATCTGCTCTCGTAACACCGCCTTGACGGTCTCGTTGCGGAGGGTGAGGGTGAAGGGATTGAGGGAGGGGGTGAGGATGGATGTCACCAAGGCAGCCGTCTTGTTGACTTCCGCAGAGTGTCCTTTGCCAGGCCTGACATACAGGAAGATGGTGGTACTGTAGCCGATGAAGACCAGGGCGAGGTGAGACCCACACGTGGAGAAAGCCTTCTGGCGTCCGCTGGCAGAGGGAATCCGCAGCACGGTGCTCACGATGTAGCCGTAGGAGACCAGGGTCACCAGGAAGGAGCTGAGGACGAAGGCCAAGGCCATCACAAAGTCCCAGAATTCCAGCAGGCTAGTGTCGGAGCAGGACAGCTGCAGCAGAGGGGCGTTGTCACAGAAGAAGTGGTTAATGATGTTGCCGTGGCAGTAATTGAGATGAGCTCGGGAGAGGACAGTGGGTACCATGGCCAGGAAGGGAGCTGCCCAGGCAGCCCCCGCTAGCCGGGCACACACAGCCCCGCTCATCAAAGTGCCGTAGCGCAGTGGGTGGCAGACAGCCACAAAGCGGTCAAGGGCCATGTCGGACAGGATGAGGAAGGAGGTGGAGCCGAGGGAGAAGTAGAAGTAGAACTGGACCATGCAGCCGGTGAAGGAGATGACCTTGTGGGGAGCCAGCAGGCCGGACAGCATCCTGGGCACGGCAGTCATGGTCACCAAGATCTCCAGCAGGGAAAAATTGCCCAGGAAGAAGTACATGGGAGTGTGGAGGTGGCTGTCAGCAATGACCTGCAGCTGGCAGGGGTGGACAGGGGCTTGTGCACAGCTGGAATGGGATGGCCGTGCTGGGTGAGAGGCTCCGCAAGCTACAGCATCTTCAAACCCTATGCTAATTTCCTAATTAAAGGCTTACCCTGTGTCATCACAGAGCCCAGGGCAGCAACACTGATGTGGGGCTGGAATGTGGGGAAGGATCCTTCTTGAGACCAGAGGGGAAAGGTGCTGTTTCTGTGCCTTCTTTCCCGAGGATGAGAGTTCTTGGTTCTCTTGCTCGCCCTTGGTTGCTTGATAGGGTTTAGAGCTGAGCTTATCCCAGATGGGAACCAAGACTCCAGCAGAGTGCTCTCTGTGGGAATGACGGGAAAGCAGGGCGCCCTCTGGGAGTTATGAGGCACTGGTGTTACTTGACACAATACTGAGAAGTTTTCTGTTCTGAGGAAGTAGGATTTAATAAAATGAGCTGAAGGAAGAAAGGGAAAGAGACTAGATTATGTCTAAGAAGACAGTGGCTTGGGGATCTGTCTGCTTCCCGGAATAAAAATAACATGATGGAAAAAGCACAGAGGAAAGAGTCCCCATCTGGACTAAAATCATGGCAGCCTGGGTGCATGGCCAGGCTTAGATGCAGAGTTGGTGTTTAGAGATCCAGACCCAGGATTTTGAGACTGGGGAGATAGGGAATGTAGACCCTGGACCACAGCACTGTCTTGTCTGGATTCTCCAAAATGTCGTCTGTAGGAGTTGGGAAATTGAAAGTAAGCTTAAGAGGAGGTGTCTTTCCCTCAGAAGCAGGGCCCCTGAAGGACACATCCTGGACACTGGCCAGACTGAAGGGCTTGTCCCTGACTCCTGTGAGAAGATACACAGCCCGGGGCTGAAGGTGAAGGCAGTCTGGTAGAAGGTCAGGCTCCCAGGTCAACTCTGAGTCACAGTCCTTCATCTCAGAGAAGTTCAGATTTTCCATACGCCCCTACCCCAGGCAGAAATAATGACAAGGAGATATCAAACAAAAGCTTTCCAACAAATACAGTGTGAAATTGGTCCTGAGTCAAAGAACCACAAGGCCTGAAAGGGGTTGGCCAGTCAATCTTTCCATAGGGTCTGAATCTGGGACTGAGTTTTTAGGACAGAGCCATTCATAAGTAAAAAAAAAAAAAAAAGACTTTAGATCACTTTGGACAGAAATGGGGGATAATAGGAGAAGGGAGCACATTGCCAGTAGGGAGTGCAGGTGGGCAGACAGGATGGCTGGTCAAAGCAGAGGTGGGGGGTGGCTGGGGGAGGTACAGCTCAGTGCTAGAGCGCATGCTTAGTATAAGATCCTGCGTTCAATCCCCAGTACCTCCATTAAAAAAAAAAAAGCAGAAGCGGAGGCGGGACATCTTGAGTCCTTATATTTATACCGCTTCTACTTCATTCAATGCAATACCCTGTAATCCATCTTAGTTCATAAGTACAGTGAGCAATTCTTACGGTGTTCACTTCGGATCCTCCTGCGTGTGGTACCCAGAGTCTGACACTGACATATGAGACCCTTAGGAATGGACAAGTGACCCTGGCGCTGCTGGGTGCAAGATCCATACAGCTAAAATGTGTCAAAACTTTATGTTGAGTTCCTGATTAAATACTTACTATTTCTCTCCATGTATCCCAGGGCAGCAGTATGTGTAACTGATGCAGGGCTGGAAGGACAGAATGGGTCTTAACAGGGGAAATCAGATGAGGATGGTTCTCTTGCTGTCCCTTGTTCATGAGGATGAGGGTACTTGGTCTGTCTATCCACCCTTTTCTAACTGCAGGAGTCCTGCTGGGTTTCAGAACTGAGCTGGGCTGGGTGGAAAACTGTAGGGTCCAGCAAGGCACTCTTTGTAGGAATGACAAAGGACGGCAAGGAGCCCCCTGGGGGCTTGTATATACAGATGTTATGCTTAAACTGACACCCAGAGGCAGGGAGGAAAGGTCCAGCCTGTGTCTCCAGAAGCACAGAAATAATGGTGTGTGTGTGTGTGTGTGTGTGTGTGTGTGTGTGTGTGTGTGTGTGTGTCTGTGTGTGTGTGTGTGTGTTGAGGGATTGAAGGTAGATCTGGGTTTGAAATCTGGCATTTATATAGTACTTGTTCATCAAGGATTCGCTGAATAAATACACCCCAGTTTCTTCATGTGTGAAATGGGGCTTAGAGTGCCCCTCCACCAGGTTGTTTTCAGAACTAAATGAGACATTGTATGGAAAGCCCTAGTATAAATCTACCTGGAACACAGAACGTGGACATACCTGTCTTCCTTTTCACAAAGAAAAGTTTCTATTCCCTTAAGAGGCGTTTGCAATAAGTTACAGAAAAAGTTGATATAACTTGGACAAAGAGACGTATGTTTGGGGAAAAGTCTGGGAGTTCCTTGTCACACTGTGTCATCCATCGGGGTTACTTACATCCCCTTCTCCTCCTCTTCTGTTCTCTTTTGTTCCCCCATTCCCACACCCACACCACGGCCAGATTCTGCTAACCTCAGTTTCTCTACTTACTCTAATTAGTCTTCTGATTCATTCCAATGTTATCTTTATCCTTCACCTGACCTTGTTACTGGGAAGAAGGGAATAAAAGTTACCTTGGTTCTTGGCCACTTGAAAAATACGAATTTCTAACAGGAGACAATGTGACATACACAGAAGATTTCATTAGTGAAATAAAAAGGGTAGTAAAATATAGTACACCCCCAAGAACTGGGGGCCGGCCAGGCCAGGAGAGGAAAAACGGTGCCTTTGTTTTTCCTGTTTTTATATCCTGGCTTAGGCGCGGTTTCCTGATTGATTGATTTACAGCTCAGGTTCTGGGAGTGCTCAGGCTGACTGACAGCTCCTTGTGCTCAGGCACGCCCGTCGCTTTTACGCGTGTTTTTACCCATGACGCACACAGAGAAACCTACAGGAGGGGCTCAAACTGCAATGTTAATTACATTGTAATGAGCGCTGGGTCACATTAAGCCGGGTCTTTCTGCTGTGCAGTCGCAGTGTTTGATTCTAGCCGGCTTCTTTGCTGGCCTTCATTTTAGAGAAAGTAAGGTTTTGGAGCCCCTCGTCCTGAGCAAGCATGCTGTTATTTTCTGGGTTGCTCCCTCCTCCTTCCTCTCCCCCTGCCTGGCACTCGTGTCTATCTAACTGCCTAACAACCGTACCTCATTTCTCTTCCCCATCAGTACCCCAATGGTGAGCTATATCTTTTGTTAAATATTCAGAATTTATTTAAAAAATATTTTCAACTTCATTGAGGTTAATTTTTATACAAGAAATGCAGCCATTTTAGGTTAAAGTCAAGAAGTATAAACAAACTGATACATGTCTCATCACTGCCACAGCCAAATATTGAAAGCCATTCATACCCAAAAGTTTTCTTTGTGTCCCTTTCATTCACCCCAGCCTCAGGCAGCTTTCTGTGACTATACAGTAGATTTTTCATTTGTTGAGTTTATTAGTGGAATAATACGGTGTTGACTTTGTGTCTGGATTCTTTTGCTTGATATAACTCTGTAGAGACTTAGCCATGATGCTGCTTCCATCCATAGTTCATTCGTTTTCACTGCTGAGTGGTATTCCACTGTATAGATCTATCACCATTCATTTATCCATTCACCTAATGATTGCCATTGGATTGTTTGCAATTTACTGTGAATAAAACTACCATGAAAATATCTGGTTGGTATCTGTTTTCATTTATCTTGGAAAACTATCTAGTAATGGAATTGCAGGTTTGTGTGGTAAGTTATGTTTAGCTGCTGTTGTCTGTACCACTGTGCATTCCCACCAGCAATGTACGAGAGTTCCTATTGCTCCTCTTCACCACCAACATACAGTGTGGACAAAATCAACTGAAGATACATGCTTGAGCCTGTGTCTGAATTTTCTATCATATTTTTCTGGTCTACATGTCCATTGATTTACATATTATATCAGTAACATTCTGCCTTGATTATTGTAGCTTTATAGTAAATCTTGCTGTGTTCATTCTTTTTTTCAAAATTATTTTGGGTATTCTAGGTCCTTCACATTTGCATAGGAATCTTAGAGTCATCCTTTACATGTTTAAAACAAAAAGAGTTTCCTGGGAATTTGATTAAAATTATATTGAATCTATAGACTAGTTTGTAAAGAATTGAGATTCTAACAAAATTGTTCTGATTTATGAATTGAAGTATTTCTTCACCTATTTGGGTCCTCTTTAGCCTCTCTCAGCAATATTTTACAATTTTAAGTGTATAGGTCATACGCATCGTTTGTGAAATATGTCTCTTAGTTTTTTATGCTTTTGGATGTCATTGTAAATTATATTTTATATGTTTTATTTCCATTTCCAATATTCATTGCTAGCATAGAGCAATAAATACATTTTTGTGTATTGAGCTTTATCTTATGACCCTGATAATCACTTATTGGTTCTATAGCTTTTTTGTGGACGTTTTAAGATCTTGTACACATAGAATTGTGTCCCTGTGAATAAATAATTTCATTTCTTTATTTCCTAATTGTATGCTTTTCATTTCATTTTCTTGCTGTATTGCATTAGCTAGAACTTCCAGTACAATGTTGAGTAGATGTGGTGAGAGCAGATATCTTTGTCTTGTTCCCAGTCTTACGGGAAAACATTGTATCTCATCATTAGATTTCATACTATCACTATCACTTTGGTTAGATGTTATTTTCTTTTTAAAAAATTTTTCCTTATTTATTTGTTTTTCCCTTAATGG